AGGAAGGAAGGAAGGAAGGAAGGAAGGAAGGAAGGAAGGAAGGAAGGAAGGAAGGAAGGAAGGAAGGAAGGAAGGAAGGAAATAAATAAATCCAGGTCAATTTTTTTTCTAATGTTGATCAGATAATAAAATAATTGCACTCTCAAGTGTCCATCCTAAGTGGTGCTTATGGTCTGTTATCAGAAAGACCACTGTTTTTCTCTTGCTCTCTTCTAAGTTAATATTCTGGCCATGAGAAAATTTTATATCACTAAGTATTTGGAGAATTGGGCATTATATATTTATAAATTGGCATATGGAAGGAAGATCAGCATAAACCAAGATTCAGAGAGGGAACTTGAGTGACAGCTACAGAACAGTGGCAACAAGTGCTAATGAAGCAGGGATTTAGAGCTTCTCCTGTAATCAGGGCCCCCTGATACTTGTCCAGTAACCATTGATTTCTCTCTCGGTGCTGCTGAAGCTCTGATGTTGAGGAAAGGAGCCAAAAGCTTTTAATGGAGTCTGAGATCATTTTACTTTGCTACATCTCAGAGGATGAAGCTGGAGCTGAACACAAAATAATCTAGATAAGATCCTTTCTCTCTCTCCCTCTCTCTCTTTTAATTCTCCTAAGAAGCGGATACAGATAGTCCTCATTTAGCACCACAATTGGGACCGGCAATTTGGTCATTAAGCGAAGCAGTCACTAAGTGAAAACATGACTGCGCTTGTGATCTGACTTCAGCTTTCCTTTGTTTTACAGACCTGCGAAGGTCGTCAATGCAAGGATTGCTTGTAAAATTACTTTTTTATTACTGTCATAACTGTGAATGGTTGCTAAACAAAGCAGGGACTAAACGAGGACTACCTGCATAGCATTCTAGAGCTATCATCTTAACTGGGGATCCATCCATTAGAGATGGATCTAGGAATACTCCAAGGTTAAAGCGCCAGGTTCCTTGGGAATCCTAATCTTATACGTAAAATCAGACCAGATTGGTCCTAAACTCTTACTTTGGCAGAAGATAAGAATTACAAGAATTACAATTCCAAGAATGTCCAGGGCAGCAAGAGAAACAATTCAAAAACAATGTTATATACAGTGTAGATTTGCCCTCTGTTAGTCCAGGTAAGAGATCCATTTGGTGTAGTGTTAAGGTCTCAGGTAGAAACTGGGGGACTGTGAGTTCTAGATCCACATTAGGCACAAAGCCAGCTGGGTGACCTTGGGCCAGTCACTCTCTTTCAGCCCTAGGAAGGAGGCCATGGCAACCCACTTCCAAAAAGCTTGCCAAGAAAGCTGCAGGGACTAGTCCAGGCAGTTGCCAGGAGTCAAGACTGACTTGAAGGCATCAAAGAAAAAAAGTCAGGTAAACAATCTGGGGGACTCCAAATATTTTGCATTCTTGCTGCCATTATTCCTTGTCATTGGCCATGCCAACTTGGTGCTGATGGGAGTGGAAGTCCAAAATACCTGGGAGATATCAGATTGCCTACTCCTGCTGTTGGCCTCCTTCCCTCTCAAAATTATATTCCCCCTTTCTATTCCACCCAATACAGGACTGCTAACAATTAAACTTAATAACTCCTGCAGGTGTGTGTGTATTAATTATAGTAAAAGGAGGCAGATGCAGCAGCAAAAAAAGGCCTCAAACAACATTTGTATCCTATATAGTGCAAATGCATCTTCCCAGGAGCAATTCAGTGGATTCACCTAAGCTTGAGAATCCACACTGCAGGAAATGAAAGACCGCAATGTATTTTTATAAAGCTGTCATCCAAGGCTACAAACATAATTCCCATACTACACTAAGATTGACAACCTGTTCATATATATATATATATAGCCAAGAAAATATAGGATGGCCACCTGATTAAAATGACTAGTTTAGCATCGGGGCAGTCCTTTAGGAAGCATTTTACCTTTAACAGCCTCCTTTGTGAAACAGTCAATGATCATTTCCATTTAATTCCAAATTCAGCTAAAGCTGAAAGACCATCACTTGCCTAGCATGGGAAATAAGACTGAAATCAGGACTTACGAGCTGACAGTTCAGTCTCTTAACAGTGCACCCTTCCCCTGGAAAACTTTATTTTCTAGAAGACTTGGGGTGGGAGAGCAGAAACTCTCTGATTAACAGCATCAAGATTTGAATGCCTCTGCTGATTGAAGCAGGAGATTAAATAACTGCATTTCAAAGACTAGCTTATGTAGGCAAGGAGCCCCCTTTTTCTGATACCCCTCCGCCTCCCCCCCATCCTGGGTGGCAGGCCTGGGAATCTGGCTGGATGCCCAGGTTCCATGCTTCCCAGCTGGGAAATGACTCCTCCTTTCTTTCCATGTTGTGCACCTGATGTCAGAGTCTCTCCACCGAGCCCCAGAGGACTCCACTCCAACTGGAACGCATTCGGAAGCATCAGCAAGGGCTTGGCGAAAAAGAGGACATCTTCAGAATGCACGGAGGTTGCCAAGCCCTGTCACTGGTGATAAAGCGGCTTTGAAAAATTGCCTCCAGCCACCTGCCCTCCCCTGACGGGAGGAGCTGCCAGTCGCGTCTTGTGTTCGCCTCTGAAATCCTGGCAGCAGATATTCCTCCCAGCAGGACCTGTGAAACCCAGGAAAATTCTCATTTCCTTTTAGAATAAACCTGCTTTTGTGCTCTCCCTTGAGAAGGGATCAGCAGTCATTCATCACTGCTGGGAGTAACGAATGCCTCCTAATTGTAGCTGAACTATTTGGCAAGAGCACCCTGTTTTCTGTTCAATAGGGAGGAGTAAAGCTAAATCTTCCAGCGCAAAGTCATAAGAAGCCATAGTCCTCCTGATTTGCAATCTGCAGCTCAGTTGATCTGTATGCAAAAGAGAAACTATAAGCCATGGCCGAGAACTTTGCAAGGGGAGAATCCAACTCAGCAGCCATGGATTCTTTATCATTTTAACCAAGACACTTCTACATATTCTGAGCTTCCCCCATCTCCCCAGCAGGATGGGTATACTAGTGTTTCATCAATGGAGGGGAAGAAAAATTGGGAACGTGAATCAAAAAGGAAGAGGCTGCCTGGCCAGAAATTACAGGGATGGTAGACTGCGTATGACTTATGAGATTGATTATTTCTCTGTGAGTTTTAGGGGCTGCCCAACAGCCTCTAAAAAATAATAATTTGTTAAAAATAATAATAAACAATAGAACAGTAAAAACAAAGACATGTGCACCTGGAAAACAAAACAGATTCTTAATCAACTGAGATTGATTAAGGGGCTCAGCACCCAACCTAACCCAAGGCCTAGGGGAATAGCTGGGTTTCCAAAGATGTCTTGGACATTATCAGGGTGGGAGGCTGGGTGCCATCCCGCTCTCTACTATCAGCAGCTTGTAAGCTTCATGTATGAGTGGAAGATGTCAAGGGGAGTCACTTGAGCTCTGTTCTGGCCCATTGTCAGGCCTAGCCCAAGGAACTCCAAGAGACAATGCCAGTTCAGTCCAGCTATGTTTGTTAGCTACAACCTCTAGCAAGAATCTTCCCAGACTAAAACCC